AATCCCCCCCGCTGGAGGCGAAATCCCGCATCAGCAGCGATAACAGGCGAAGATGATGGGGGGATACCACGCAATCCAGCCGATCCACCCGCACCCGGTACTCGTTCGAGAGGATATTCCCCGCGATGTGGGCGTCGAAGCCCTCCAGGCAGGGCTCCCACACCACCGCGGCGTTGTTGAAGTGATACAACGTCGCGCTGAACCGCGTCGCGATCGCCTTGTCCGGGGCGAGGGAGAACTCCACGCCGCGAAGCCCGCCATGCGCGAGCGCGCCGCCGGAGCCGAGCAACATCACCTCCACCAACGGCACCTGAAGCCGGAAGTCGGACAGCGGCAAACTATCGCTCCCGGTACAACAACGATAACAAAGCACCCCGGGCAGCTCCGCCGCCTCGGATAACCCGGCGGAGGGCGCCCCGCAATGCCGGCAGCTCCCGGGGGTGAGGGAGGGCGCCAGGGGCCGGAAGTCCTCGCTTTCCAGCTGAACCGTCGGGGCCGCGCGCTGGGCGGCGGCCCCGGCGCCGAGGACCCCCCGCACCTCCTGAAGAATCCCGGCGTAGCGGCCGAGAAAGATCGCCCGCGAGCTGAACTCAAGGGCCCCGAGGACGACCGAAATACTCACGTGGTCGACCCCGGAGCAGTTCCCCGTGATTTCGGTCGGGAGCAAAATGCACTCCTCGTGGGGGCCTGAGCGGACCTGAAGGAGCTGCATGGAGGCGTTGCGCTGGACGAGGCGGCCGTCCTTGAGCTCCTGCGTGAAGAGGGCCCTCGCGGCCATGCACAGGGAGGCCGTGAGGCCCGGCGCGGCCTCGGCGATGAGCTGGGCTTGGAGGTCGGGGCAGGCGAAATCGCACACAACGCGCAGCGAATAGCCCCACGCCGGGGGGAAGGCGGGCCGTTCGCCGTCGCCTCCCCCGGCTTCACCCGCGGCGCTTTGGATCCCGGGCTTGGGGAGGTCGGCGGCGGCGAGAAGGGGCCCGCGGGGGGGCGGGCTCGGCAGGGGGGCCCCCCCCCAGGACCGAGCCCGACCCGAGCGGCCCGGACGGGGCGTTCAAAAACTGCTTTTGCACCCGACAATCCACCCCGAGCTGAAGCCGCGCGCCGCTGGCAAAGCTGACGTAGGAACCGATCGAGTACATCCCGGGGAGGACGATTACCCCGCCGGTGATCGTCAATTCGCAGCCCTCGGACAGCACCATCTGCGCCGAAGGCGGCCCCGTGAGGATTAGACGATGGTCGTTCAGGTTGAGATGATAGCAGCAGCGCTGGGGGCCGGTGGTGAGCAGGATATGCTTGCTGTCCAGCCGGACATCCCGCTCCAAGCTCGTCGCGTCGCGATCGAGGCCGAGAACCGGGACGGGCTCCTCCGGCAGCCCCAGAATCTTCTCGCAGAAAGGCCGGTAGAAGACCTCGTAGGTCTCGCGCATGGCGGTAGGGGAGAGCGCCAGGGCCAGCGACCCCAGCGTCAGGTGCACGGTGCGCTGCTCGGAAACGGCGCGGTCGCCCGGGTCGACCTCGCGCCCCCCCCT